CCGTCACCGGCGACTCATGGCAGCCCAGCTCCAGGTTGAGCTGTTGTTCAGCATCTTAGCTGTAGAGGGCAGTGTCACTGGCCCTCATGTGGGTTCTGAACCGGGGCCCTGCTGCTCAGAGCTGGAGTCTCAAGCCAGCTCTTAACCAACGCGCCACTTGGCCAGCCCGTGATTTTTAGTTTTTTAATGATTGAGAATCTCTGTGTCTGATGCTGTACTAAGTATCAGAAGGAAGAAAAAAAATAAAAACAAGTCTTTTAGGAATCTTAATGTCGGGGAATGACAAAACATTCCATAGAAAGGAACAAACCTTGAACAAAAGTTGGGTTAGTCTGAATCTTGTGCAGTTTGAATTGTAAGCACATTATTAAAGGAGATTTAGTTACATTTTGTATATGTGGTAATCTTAAGTTTCTATTTTAAGGAAAAATAAATTCATCACCCAATGTTAATACTACTGCGTCAGGTGTTGAAGATCTTAACATCATTCAGGTGACAATTCCAGGTAAGATTTCTCTGCCTGAATCATAGGGGTGTTTTCCTCTTCAGTTTTTCACTTTCATGACACGATTACTAGATTGGCTGTATTCATGCAGGGATGTTCTCCTTCCCACCCAATATACCACCTTGTCAGTTTATTTCTAAACAGCTCTAGGCAGTTATTGGACTTGGCATGAGCTAAAACCTGTTGACCACCCAGATGCCTAGTGTTGTTTTTAAAATCTGTATAAAATAGCAGGTAAAGCTCTTTATAACAAGAATAAAGTTGTAGCCTTTTCAATTTGATGTTATTGTTAAATCGGATTAAATCATTTCAATCTTGATTAGTTTAAAATACTTAAATATTCCAAAAACAAAGTGAGTTACACAGAGCACCTAAAAACTTACTTGGAATTAAAATTGCATTATTAAGTTATGAGTTTTCTCAACATTTTTAGATGATGATAATGAGAGACTGTCAAAAGTTGAAAAAGCGAGACAGCTAAGAGAGCAAGTCAATGACCTCTTCAGTCGGAAATTTGGTAAGTTTTTTTATTTCATAGGGCAGCTTGAAATAAGCAAGGAAATTTTGTTTCAATGAAACTTAACAGTAGATTATGCTCAGATAGTTATAATCTTCCTATATAAAAGGAAATAAAGTTATAAAATAAGTGTTTTGGTTTTCCTAAAATTCTTTAGTAAGAAAACATTAAATGTGTCATACTATTGATAATGGAGGTATCAAAGTAAAAAAATTAAGGTTTATATATAAAGTTGTTTGAAATGTACAAAGATGTTAACAGCAGAGGCAGTCTTTAAAATAAATGTTGGTCATGTGCTTTTTAAACATTCCTTAAGTTGATGGGTTAATATGTGCTTTCATGCTGTGTGTCTCATTGTAGGTGAAGCTATTGGTATGGGTTTCCCTGTGAAAGTTCCCTACAGGAAAATCACAATTAACCCTGGCTGTGTGGTGGTTGATGGCATGCCTCCCGGAGTATCATTCAAAGCACCTAGTTACCTGGAAATCAGCTCCATGAGAAGGATTTTAGATTCTGCCGAGTTCATTAAATTCACAGTCATTAGGTGAGTGAGAGTTCCCGGCTTGGTTATAAGAATGAACCTGCAGATCATGACGCTAAGTCACCGTCCAAAATATAGTCACATGTAGTAATAGAATCGAGTTTACCATGTGATGACATGAACAATTAAAATAATTATTGTNGCTTGGGCCACTGAAGCAACATCCTCCACAACTAGACTGAAGAACAAAAACAACAGCAACTTCTCTGTTCCCCTTCCCCCGATTCTCCAATAAAAAAAAATCTTTAAAAAAAAAAAAAAAAAGAAAGGGAAACATACAAGCAAACATAGGTAACCAAAAGTTACATGGCTCCCAGAGGGCATGGTGAAACATTAAGTGAATTCAGAGTACCTCAGATGAGCCAGAAAGCTAACTGTTTTGGGGAAGAATGCCTGGTTAGAGAGACAGAAGTAGAGAAATGAACAGAGGTCTGTGGAACTACCTGCAGTGCCTGTTTTCATTGCAGGGTGCTTATATACTGTTTGAACTTAACTTTGTTTTTCAGCACATGCTCGGCTTCAGTAAGAAGGATTAAATATGCAGTTGTTTATGTTGTTTTTTAATTCTTCTTTAGGCACTAATAACAACAGCCCTCAGACCTCAGCTGTGCGAACCCCTACCCAGACTAATGGTTCTAATGTTCCCTTTAAGCCTCGAGGGAGAGAGTTTTCCTTTGGTAAATATGCGTTTTATTTTTCTTGATTTCATCATTTTAAACAAAAGGAATTAATAAAAATACTTTATTTTACTAAGTGAATTGTTTTTTTATTTTGTAAGTCAATATATATTAGCAATTAAAGGCACAGACTGTATTGTCGGACTGCTGGGTTCCAGTCTGGTGCCAGCACTGTATAATTTTGTGACCTGGGGCAAGATACTTGCCCTTTCTGGGCCTGTTTCCTTATGTGTAAATGGGGATAACATTACTTCCTGCTTCAGAGGGTTGTTATGAGGATTATAAATGCTAAACCATTTAAAGGGTAGGACTATACCTGGCATATAGTAGATACTATAATTGTCTTTTAGGAGATTTTTTGGGCTTTATTTATTTATTTGCTTTAGCATATGTCACTTATTTGTAGCCAACATATTAGTAATATAATAAAAACAGTTTAATGTGTGACAGGATTCGAGTAGTTGTCAAGACATGACTGTTAAAAACCTATGTATTTTCTTACTTTGTACTTTCTAAAGATATACATTATTAAAATAAGATGAAAAATCTTGATCATGGATATATATTGATAAATATTACTAACAACTTAACTACTTTGTTTTTTTACATACAGAGGCTTGGAATGCCAAAATCACAGACCTAAAACAAAAAGTTGAAAATCTTTTCAATGAAAAATGTGGTAAGTTTATTTTGAAACATTATTAAAATACAAGTTAGTTTTTTTTTTTTAAAAGAAGAATGTGAGCAGAGTAAAACTGTTCACATTTAAATTATGCTATCGTTGGAGATATATGGGTTTTGTAGGCATGAATTTCATAATTTCTCCCACTTTTCTGAGCACCAAGAAATTTGAGAAATTGTTTTAAAATTAAAATTGATATGATTTTTTAAAAGAATGTAATTTTAGTAGCCTCAAAATATAATTTAAAATGCATTTTTGGAAAAGGTTTAGATTTTAAAAAGTTATAAATGTGAGAAATGTGTGTATGTGTTTTGTAGGTGAAGCTCTCGGCCTTAAACAAGCTGTGAAAGTGCCATTTGCATTATTCGAGTCTTTCCCGGAAGACTTTTACGTGGAAGGCTTACCTGAGGGCGTGCCGTTCCGACGACCATCTACTTTTGGCATTCCAAGGCTGGAGAAGATACTCAGAAACAAAGCCAAAATTAAGTTCATTATTAAAAAGTAAGGAAATTAGATGAAATGAGGTTGGCCGTGAGTTGGTAACTGTTTGACACTGGGAGATGGGTGCCTGGATTCACCTTTGGGGCAGGGCCACATTAGCCCGTGTCAGAAACGCTCTTTAAGCTGTACCTTCGTGTATGTTTAAATTTCCATAGTCGGTTAAGAGGGAAGAGGGCTCTAGCTTATCAGAGGGGTAACACCCTCATTTTGTTAAACCTCCCACAGTTGTGGTTTTTTGGTTTTTTTTTTTTTAAATTTTATTGGGGAATTGGGAAAGGGGAACAGACAAGTTGTTGTTCTTCAGTCTTAGTTGTGGAGGGCGCCAGTCGCCATCTGGCTGCCTGTTGGCAGCTCGTGGCCTCTAAGCTCAAGGTGCTGTGTTCCATCTTAGTTGCGGGTGGGCGTAACCACCATCCCATGTGGAAGTCGAACCTGGCAGCCTTGTTAAGAGTGCACGCTCTATCCACTGAGCCATCCAGGCGGCAGCTCAGTTTAAGGTGCCAAGTTCAGTCTTAGTTGTGGGTGGGCATAGCCCACCATCGACAGGCAATCTTGTTGTTACACCAGCTGGGCCACCCTGCCACCTGTTGGCAGCTCAGCGACAGCTCAGTTCAGGCACACTGAACTCAGTTCAGCATCACTGGCCCATGTGGGAATCGAACCAGCGGCCCTGTTGCTCAGAGCTCGCGCTCTTAAACCAACTCTTAACCAGGTGAGCCACTCGGCCACCCCCACTTCCACCTTCCCCAGTTGTATTTTTAATGGTTGATGCTGCTGGAATCTAAGCAGTGGTTTGGTTTTATAAAACTCTTTTATTTCTCCTACTTAACACAGTATTTTAAATTTCTTTTCCTATTTGCTTGGAAATCTATGGATTAAGCCAACACAATTGAAATAGATGGGAATAGTTAGAATTAGAAAATACATGTCTCTATGCTCCAGAGTTCTTTGAAATTAATTAACACACGTTTTCTTTTTTCTTGTTTTTAGGCCTGAAATGTTTGAGACAGCAATTAAGGAGAGCACCTCCTCTTCTAAGAGCCCTCCAAGTAAGTGTTCTTGCTACAGAAAACATGCTGTTAAAAATTTATTTTGCAACAGTGGTTAAAAAATTGTTTAAAGAACAGCTGTTGAGATAAAAACAGGAAAGCTCATTCAAAATTGGGGTTGTGACTAATTTATGATTTATAGTTTTTTGGGTTTTTTTAAAGATTTTTTGGGGGGAAATTGGGGGAGGGGAACAGCACTGGGGAATTGGGGAAAGGGGAACAGACAAGTTGATGTCCTTTTGTTCTTCAGTCTAGTTGT